TCCCGTGGCCACTTCAGCAGGGGCTGTGGTGACTGAGGAGAAGCGGAGCAGTGAGGTGTGTGGGGAGAAATGGGACTAGTGGGGCTGCTGTCCACCCTGAGCACCGTGAAGAGCCTGGTGCCACCCCTGTTGCATCCCTGGGAGCGGCCTACACCACCTGCTTGCAGCCACTGGGCTGAGCTGTGCCTCTCTCCCTGACCTTTCTCTAGCCCCAGCCTCACTCCCTCCCTCCCTCACCACCGTGGGAATGTGTCCCTATCTGTTTCATTGTAAACTGGGTATGCTTTATGCAAATTTAACTTATGCGCCTGCCCTGGGAACACATCTACCGCATAAATTGAGGGAAACCTGTATTGTTAAGCTTGAATCTTTTTTTGAATGGATAAAGATAGCTTCTGCCCAGGGTAAGTGTTTTCAAGTCTCCCAAGTCCAAGGGCATGGTAGTTAAGCAAGGGATCACTTGGAAGGCTGATCAGGAAGTGATCTGGCAGGGAGTGGAGGATTATAAGATCTCTGTTGCTTTATTTATTTATTTATTTTTAAAGAAAATGTTGATGAAAGAAAGGAAGGGGAATGTGTATGCCCTCGTGATAGAAGTTCTGTTGAACTGCGGGACCAACAGAAGAGAAAGAAAGCTAGCTGTATGGGAAGCAAGGAAAGTGAGTGAGACTTCATGATTTGGAGGAAAAGCCAGGAGCCGAGGATGGGAAGTTTGTGTAGATATTCTGTCTAGATCAGTATATTTCTTGTGCTAGTCTTTTTCTTTTTTGAGCCTTTACAGGATGTTTCTTTTCTCCAAGTCTTGTATGTTCCTGAAGCAGGCAGTTATAAACCAAGGATGATCACAAAATTAGGGATGTGGGAAAGTGAGAGCTATTGGTTATTGTAGAGACTGAAGTGTGTGTGCGGGGGGAGGAGGGGTGAGATCAGCACTGATTCTGGGGTTTTAAGACAACTGGGCTATGAGAGCTGCATTTTTTTGAAAGGAAAACAGAAACCATGTCCAGAAAACATGCCAGAGAATCAAAAGAAGAAAAGGCAGCGTAACCAAACAAAGAAAACTCTGGTAGGACACATGCCAGGATGAGAAGATCCAAATGGTGTGGTGAGAGTGAAACTGGCATTCATTTCTAGCAGCCAAAAAATGTCCACCTTTAGATATGTTCCTGGGAACAGGGCACAGGTATTCAGCCTGCAACTGCCCCTGCTTCTTGTACCTTCCTGAGACCAGAGGTGATTCTGGTCCATGTAAAGTATGAGGAACAGCAGCTGCTCCAGGGGGACTAGAGCAGTAGGGCAAAGCCCCCATCTGTCACTCACACTGAGAACTTCAATGTGAGAAGCAATGATGGGGCTGGAGGCTTGCCACTTGGCTGCTGACCACCTGTCCCCAGAAGGAGTCAAGAAGTGGGGAAATATATAGGCATTTGTTCTTGTAGAAGACATTTTTCCCAGTAGTAAGTTCTAGCAGGTGGGAGATAAGTAATTTTGCTCTCAGAACAGCCATTTTTGTTCTGGGAAAAACTGTGAATGCCTGTATACTCATGGCTTCTACTGGGAGAGCTGTGATTTTTTTTTTTTCCTGGTAGAAACGTAACTCCTGTACATAGCCACTGCTATAATAACTAGTGATGCAGGAGTTCAGTTTTTCTCTGCCCCATTTCTGGCTCATTCTGTGCTTGTGTGCGATTTGAAGTAATATAGGCAGACAAGATTCTTTGGGTGAATCTGATATCTTTTATTAGACCAACCAAAATAGTTGGAAAACAATTTTTAAGCAAGCTTTCAAGTTCAAAAACCCTTAGTCAGTCTAAGGAAGTTTCAGCAGTTGGTGTGTGCTCTTCCTGGATGGAATGAAAAGTAAAGAAGCCAGAGGTTGGGCTGGTATGCATACAAGACAGGCAGTCAGTGAAGATGTAGATTGAGGAGTCAGTGGGCGAGAGACAGGCTGGGTGGCAGGGGAGAGAAGGAGGATGAATAGCGGAGAAGTACCTGGGGAGTCAGATGTCAGGCAGGTTATAATGTGTCATAAATCCAGTGTCTATGTTTAGTCCATGATTTTTAGTATCCAGGAGGTTGATGAAGTGGAGTTTGTAGGCTCGTCTCTGGAAAGTGTTTTTATAATTTTCCTTTGAAGATCAGAACTGAGAGATTGGAGAGAGAGTGGTTTTCTTGTGAGAAATGTGGCCCCACAGGTAATTGGGTATTCCTGTCTTTGATACATTTCCGGTGTGCGTTCATTCTGGTGCGCAGTTGTTGTTTGGTCTCTCCTACGTATTTTCCATCAGGGCATTTGGTGCATTGGATGAGATGCATTACATTTCTGGAGGTGCAGATGTAAGATCCGGGAATGCTGATGACTCTGTTGTGGGGTGTAGTAATCGTGGGGGTGGTGGAGATGCGTTGGCAGGTTTTGCATTTCTTGTCGTGGCATGGTCTGGATCCATTTGGTGTGTTGTGGGCCTGAGGAAGTTTGCCTCTGATGAGGTTAGCAAGGTTTGGTGCTTGTTTGAAGGCTAGGGTGTGTGGCTGTGGGAAAATCTCTTTAAGAATAGGGTCTCTTTCTAGTGTGGGGTGCAATTGTCTGAGGATTTTCCATACGGGTTTGAGGGAAGGGTGATATGTCTTAACCAGTGGTGTGCAATTTTGGGGGGTTTTCTTTTCTACTGCAGCAGTTCTTCACGTGGTGTCCGGGTGGCTCTTTCAAACGTGCGATCTGTCTCTCTGGAGGAGTGTCCTTGTTGGGTGAAAGCCTTTTTAAGATGGGTGAGATGGCAATTTGAAGTAACAGCAGTCATACACATTAACTGGTGAAGTTTTATTCATTTTCCATGTTGGGCAGGATGGAGCTTTCACTAAATTTTCCCAGATGATGATGATCGCTTATGAGACATCTAAATAAAGTACATTGTGCTTTTTTAAGAATTCCTTCTTTAATGCCACAAGGAGGCAGAACATAAATTTCAACATCAATACTATTGTTAACATTAATGAAATATGATAATGGATTACAGTGCTTGGAAAACAAAAATGTCTTAGAAAGTTTTTTTGTTGCTTATAATGGGAATGGAGGGAATAATGAAGAGAAATGAGAGTTTTATCATTATTGCTTTTTGCTTCAAAAGGGAAAAAAAACAACACACCAGACTTGGCATATGTATTTATTTTGTGTATTGTAGTTTTTCTATAAAATTTACAGGAAAAGTAGAAAAATTGATTTACTTCTATGGAACATTATAGGAGGTTTTCCCTGCACCCTGCATTTTCGAGTAAGGTTTTTTATACCTGATCCCAACACACTGCAGGAGGAACAAACCAGGTAACTTTATTTTTAAAATTTTCATTCAATATCTAAGAAATAGTAACATAGTAATCTCTGTTAGACTGTGCTTTTTTTGTATGCTTTGAACATTAAAGATGTGGGGATGTCATAGGGCACACACTGAATGATTTTTGCCACAGAGAATCTACATTCTGAAAGTAGAGGGAATAGTTCAGAGTTGTCAGCCATGGGGCTTCTTGCACCTCTTACTCCTTGCTTTCCTTGAAGTCAACCCTTCTAAATTTAAGGTCTTGATGCTTCTTACTGCCTATCATTAAAAAATTATCTTATTAGCTAAATGTGGTCATTTTTAACAATGTAAAAATAAAACATTTGTGCTTTTTTTTGCAAGTCATTACCATATTTTAGAACTCCTGTGCACACATTGATTTTTGTCATTCTGGTCCATATAGTACGAGTCTACACGATACACTTTATGGTGTAGCAGACTAATTTGCTGAACAGTAGAGCATCATTATCTATGTGTAGATAGTGATGTCAGGATTAATTTACATCAGCTCAGATGGAACCAGAGTACATTCAGTTGCATTAATTGCGTGTGTAAATGTACCCACAGAGTCTTACATCCCTGTTTCTTTTAGTCACCATAAGATGAATTGGTAGCACCCACTAAAATTGAGCACCCACTAAAATTGTTAGGTTACCTAATCCTTTCCATCGTGCAAGATACTTGTAACACTGGAGACTCAAACAGCTCTTCTTTCAGATCGTATGTATGTTATGATTAGTCTTTAATTGCATGATCACATATTATTTAGTCACATAGCTTCATTCAGTATACAGGATGGCTGCACAAGGAGTTAGATTTATGGATGTCTGTGCAACCTTGATTTTAGCCCTTTTTTAAATATCTTTGTGGTCCAGTATTATTTCCTTTGAAAGGTATATAGCAGCACTGAAACCCTTTTTGTAATGCAGGAAATATTTGTGCCACAAGACATTGCTACTTTTAATTTTGTAATAAAATAAAATATGCTACATTAGCCATACTGTTGGCAAATGCCTTAATCATGAATGGTGCCTAATACCTGCAATTTCCAATGAAGGCTGTGAGACTTGGGGCATGTCCAGATGAGCCGGCACGTGTCTGTTGCAGCATCTCAAACTCCTTTGAGATGCTGCAAGAGGCACATGCAGGAAGAAAATGTTTCCCGCAATTTGCAGCTGGCGGGGGGGCAAAATTAGACCCCTGGATATTTACGGGTCAAAGAAACCTGCAGAGAAAAAAAGCAGGGCAGGGCACGGTCCCAAACCATGCCCTGAGGCAACTGGAGGCTCAGTCCTCCACAGAGATGCTCTGGTAGGAGCCAGAGTGTCTCTATGGTTGGCCCTTGCACTGGTGTTGAAACACGCTGCCTGCCTGTGCAGGGTACGCAGTGTGTCAGCCGCAGGGAGCTGGACACTGGCTCCACTGCAGGTAAGTAAGGAGTGAGGGGGGGCTGGAGGAGGGGGAAGGGGACCTGGGCCGGGGGGTAGTAGCCCCTGTGGGAGCCATTAGTCCCCTGTTGGGGGACTGTGGCCCCTGTGGGTGGCAGCAAAACATATAGGTATTTAGAATTGACTTTATTATGATGATAGAGACAGGTAGGCTTCCAAATTGCTTTAACACTGTAGATATATCGATAAAACATTGCCCAACTGGTGTGTGTGTGTGTGTGTGTGTGTCTCTCTAGTGGCCTTCTGTGTTAATTGTGGAGGAACATGGATTTCAGGGTATTTTACAGAGTGACTTTGGGACTCTTTTGTCAGGCATTTTTTCAGTTTTCCGATAGGGAACACCAGAATTCATGCTAGGGAGGTCAGTGGCAGGACCCTGCCTGCTCAGAGCTGGCACCTTGGACCCAGCTGGAGGTGGCTGACCTCCTGGCCAATTGGGGCCAGGAGGACATGCTTTGACAGTTCAAAGCAGGCCACCACACCTGGAACATCTTCTGGGTAATAGCTGCCCAGATGGCTGGGCAGGGGGCACAGATGGCAGTAGTGCTGCACAAAGGCCAACTTGGCAGCTACAGTCCACGGGCAGCTGGCCCAGAGGGGCAGATGCCTCTACTGGCCACGCAGTCCCCATGTGGGTCTGGCAGGTGTGCAGCAGGTCACAGCTAGCCAGCAACCCTCACTGCTAGACTGCTGCAGTGGGTAAAGGGTGCAGGGAACTGTCAGGGCTGTTTCAGTTGGCACAAGGGGTAGTGTTTCCAGGTACCAATTGGCTGCTCCCCAGAAGCTCCCGAGATAGAGTAGGCCTGAGTTACTTGACAGAGTACCTTGCTGTACAGATGGGGCCAGGGCAGGGCAGCTCTTTATACTGCTGGGGATGGCACAGGTGTGGCTTCCCCTGCCTGCAGATCCAGAAGAAGCCAGGCAGGGTTATTTTGCCCCAAGTGGCACAATTTGCCCCCACACCAAAGTGTATGTCCGGGCACATGTGCTGAGGCAAAAAGCCCTGGCTTAAATTTATACCGCTTTTATTTCAGCTGCTGCAAGCACATGTGCTTGCACGTATGGATGCGCCCCTAGAGGTTATCATTGCCACTAAGGGTGTTAATCAGAATGAAACTAATTAAACATAATACATTTTAATTTAGAAATACATAGGAACTCATAGTTCTCTTCTCATCCCATGCAAGTATAAAGGTTATACAGTGTTTCCTGGAAGGTTGGGGTGCAACCAATTTACTTTTATTGTTAAAACCCTTAATTTACTGATAAATGCTTTCAATCTTCAGTGAGATAATTATTCCAAAACAATTATACATCCAGGAAATTCAGAGTCAAGGTAATATTTAAAAGAAATCTAAAGATATGAAAATTTGCAAATGCAGTTAAGGCCACCTAGACAACCTTAACTCCTGCTCTGTAGCAATTCCATGCAATCACAAATGCATACATAATTAAAGTCTTAATCCTAAATGTATTTATTTAAAGCCATTTTTTCTTTAATTGTTTCTTCTCATGGTGTCACTGTAGGAAAAGGTCTCTTTCTTAGTAAACACCTTCTTTGATTGTTTTTAATGGGAAATGAAACCAGGGTGCTCTCAAAATCCTTTTAAAGAACATTTGTCAACTTCTGCTGAAGAAGAAATTTTAACTTTATTAAGAAAAATGGCAAAAAGATCATTAATTTAAAATAAATAAATCATTATTAAAAAGTGGGTTACTGATGATTATAATTAGAATTGATAACTCCTGGAACTTGAGACTGAAACAGTATGCTTTACACATTTAATATTGATTCAGGATTGAAACAGACTCTTATATGGATGGCAAAGGAACTTTTAAAGCCTTGTGAGATAAAGGAGGCATGTCATTACCAGTAGGCTTATGCTTTTTTATATAGTTTTTGTACGTAAATGCATGCTTTCATTTTATGAATAGATTTCTTTAAAATTGTCATACCTTGATTTAAATTTCTGCATGAATTGAAGGTTTTCCAATTCTGTTCTTTCTAGGCATTTATTTTTCCTGCAACTGAAAACAGCTATTTTGGAAGGAAGGTAATAAGAGAAATCATTGCAGTTTCTTTTCCAAAATCTGGACATAAATAGGAACAGCTTATTGAGGAAATACGATGATTTTCTGCTGTTAAAAAATAGTTTTTTTTCAAAATATTTTAAAACTCAGGAAATGTTAGTGTTGCAAACATCCATAGAATGGGTTGATTATTAATAGAACAAATTAATGTTCCATTAAGGAAACTGTGCAAAAAGAAACGGTTTATAGCTGAACTTGTATGACAGGAGGGCATGAACTCAACGAGGGATCCCCTCCACATGGGGAGTACCATGCTCACTATACCAACTCTTAGGTGAATGATAGATGGCCACCCTTGTTTTTTATGGGTTTTTTGGATGGGACTTGCTTAGTGGCCACAAGCTCATGTTTCCTGTTCTGGTTTGTCCGGTCACCTATTTTCTTTTAGTAATTGGGATCAAGTTTTCCTCTCTCAGTTCTGGATTAGTGTGTTCTTATGAATGCTTGGCACTTCCAGTGTAAAAAATATCACACAGCAGCCATTAAAATAATGTCCAGTGCACCAAATACCCTTACCTTTTTGTTTTCCAAAATAAGCATTCAGCAAGGATATGAACATGTCCATTTAAGAGTTCTTTCCATTCAGTTAGTGATCTGTTATACAACAACTTGCTTTTATCTTCCTACTATGCTGTGACTACAGTCTTTTCCTTAAAAAAAAAAAAAAAAAAAAAAAAAAAAAAAAAAAAAAAAATTTTAAAAATATATTTTTTTTTTTTTGAAAAATATTT